GAAGGCTTAAATTTCGAATAATTAAATGTAAAATACCTGTTTTCCAAGGTTTTTCAAAAATTTCTTAACAATTTCATTATTGCAATTTCAATCAAAAATCTCATTTTTAAATGTTTGCTTAATTTGGACCACAGATTTAGTTGAACAGTAAAAACCTTGTTAACAGGATTTACTTGAAACTTAGAAAACGTTCCATTGTCTTTATAAAGATAATCAACTACTCTACTTCTTGGTTTTACATTCATTATCAATACAAAACGTTCCTTTATTTGAATATTTTTTAAATAAATAAATTCTCTTTTTTCTTTCCAATCTTCGTTAATTTTTAATCCAACCTCAACCTTTCTTCCTTTGATTTGGATATTCAACAGAACAACCAAATATGAGAGAAAAATAATAATAAATTTATTCATCTTAAATTTTAATAGTTTTCGATGCATATTTATGCGCATCTTTCTGGATTTTTCGGGCATATTTTTCCTCACCCTGAGTATAATTTAAAAATCCTTAATTGAGCAAAACTCAACGGCTAACATCTAGAAAAACGACTTAAAATGTAATAATTTTAAGATGTAAATGAATTTATTGGCAGTCCTGACTAACTTATAAACGGAGCATTGATGTAAGGAGTTTAGTAAAATGGAGAGTGAAAATTACGAGTATAGCTAAATCTCCGCCCATATGTCTGTGACATTTCCTCTACCTATTTTAGTTACAAACATCAGCTTCACATATGATGCATATGCACTTTTAACACGTCCGTTTTGACATTTTTAAAATAGAGCATAGTATTTGGCAATTCCTCTTTGCTCTTTAACCTTGAAATGATCGGAATTCCGACATAATATTTATAAGACCTCTATTTAAATTGTAATAAATAATTAAGAGTATATTCAAAACAATGAAAAGAGAATTGTCTATTTAAGAAACCTAGAATATGTATACACTATGTTCAGCTAAATCTTTCTTATGTTCACAGGACGCCTTATGCGATAATTTTATAATTAAATAGCTATATGCTTTAAAATTTTTAGAATAACACAAACATTAAGTAAATTTGACATGTGACAAGAGTATAAATTCATACATAAAATTGTACATAAAATTACAATTACATTCAAAGATCAGATTCTTTTGAATTTAATATTATGTACTTTGTAATTTTTTGGTCAACAAAAATTTCAAAATTTGTCCTATTTTATTTGTTTTCCCGCTTAATAAAATTACAAAATCTACGATTAACAACGTCAATCAGTAAAATTTGTCTGTACTCGTTGTTTTTTATTATATACACTTAGCATTTAATAAACATTAAAAATAGGAAATATTTATGTTTTAGTCTCAAATAATACTTGTAACTTTGTAAAAGTTCAGTTTGGTTTTTTCTAGTATATTATTTCTAATGTTTAGTATATTCAACATATGTAAATTCATACTTATTCCATTTTTATAAATTTACATAAATATTTTACTTTAGAAATAGCAGTAATCCTCCAACATTAATTAAATTTAAATAATCATTAGAAAATCATTTCAATTTTTTAACTAATTATTTTACTAATATTTTATATAATTATTTTGAAAACATGTGTGCCTGTGGGCCACAGTTGACCACAGTTTCTGAAATCCTGTTAATTATTATTAATATTAAAATTTAAGATGAATAAATTTATTATTATTCTTTTCTCATATTCTGTTGTTTTGTCGAGTATCCAAATCAACGGTAAAATGATTGAAGTTGGATTAAAAATAAAAGAAGATTGGGAAGAAAAAAGAGAATTTATATATTTGAAAAATATTCAAATAAAGGAACGTTTTGTATTGATAATTAATGTAAATCAAGGAAATAAAATTGAAAATTATTTCAATAAAAAATCTGAATCATTTTGTAAGCTTGAAGTAAATCCTGTTAATAAAGTTTTTATTGCTAAACTAAATAACAGCTCTAAATTAAGCTCTCAATTAAAAATGAGAATTTTAATTGAAATTGCCAATAATGAACTTGTTAAGAAATTTTTGAAAAACTTGGGAAAACAGGTATTTTATATTTGATTATTCAAAATTTAAGCTTCAAATTTATTATCCTAAGATTTGCCTAAATAATAATTTTATCATGAATAATAATTATTTTGAAACTTCGATATCAGATGAAAGTTTGGAAAATATAAATAAAAAAGAATTAGCGAAAGAAAATATAGAATCCTATAAAAACAAAATTTTATCAAGTTATTGGACCGAAATTAATTTAATCGGATATAAAATTGAATTGTTAGAAAAACAAAAAGTTGAATATCCGAAGGAATTAGTATGTGAAATTATTGACATTGGAAATAAAATAAGTAAATAAGTTTGTAATTTTTGTTTATTCGCTCATTTACTAAAAAATTTAATTTATATATTAAAGGTGGAATAATTGAAGAGACTAAGAGAATATGTTTAAATTGTGGAGCTACAAAGACTATACTATGGCTTATATACATAAAAGGATTTTATTTGTGCCAAAAATGTGGAGATTATCATAGAAAACTTGGGAAGCACAGACCAAAAGAATTGTGGAATAGAATTAAAAAAGTTTGTCTTTATCCAAATCAGAAAGATAATCAGAAAATATTTAAAGTTAGATTTTCTGAATTATAGTTTATATATATCAGCCTATATATTTAATATATTTCGGTACTATACTATACCACATTTCCGAAAATGTGCCCGCACATTTGCTTTCATCTTTCTTTTCATAGATATTGAAAGAAACGGTAAATCATTTAAATGGACATAGTTTTATGTGTATAACTAAGTCGGTTTAAGAAAGGCTTATTTTCCTAATAAATTTAAAGAAAAAAATCTGCACAATAAGCCCATCTGGACCGAGTAATCGTACTTCGAGTTCTGTTCGAACGATTATCTACTATGTATTTGTAAATTAGGTTTCTATAATGATGGATTCGGTCTTCCAAAACTCAGGCCAGTCTAAAACCGATCTTGTAAAAATCAATCCAACCAAAAAATTTGCTAACCCTAGATTGAAGCCTAGTTTTATATATATTTTTAGCCTCAAGATGTAAATTGTTTTATTTGCGGAGCAACCAAAACATCACTTTGGCGCCGTCATTCAATATCAGAACACTATTTATGTAATGCTTGCGGATTAAAGCAACAAAAAATAAATAAGAAAAATAATAAAAATCAAGAACAAAAGGAATCGAATAAAGAAAATTTAAATAATGATTAAATGTTAAATCATTAAACTGTTGATTTCGATTTTCTAAATTGTATTAAAATTGTAGACCATAAAGTTAGCTAAATTATAGTATTTATTTTTGCATTAAACACTGATTAATTTATATTGTAGATCATTAAACGAATTATAAACACCCATAATACATTTGTTTAAATTTGTGATGTTTTTATGATGATGATATACCGTATTTCCTGAAATAGTACTCCCCCCTAAATTAGCACTCCCCCCTTAAATAGTACTCCCCTTTGGAGGAGGGTTGAAAAATAGTACTCCCCCCTGAATTAGTACTCCCCCTAAAATAGTACTCCCCCCAAAAATATTTTTCCTCTATACATATTTAAAAAAATAATACGAGACATTGAATTATTTTATTTATTCTAAGTATCGTTGTCGGTTTCACTTGATTCTTTGATAAACAAAACCTGAGAGCTTTCGGTTAACCGAAAACGAATCGAAATTTTAAACTAAAATTTTTCGAGGATTAAAGAGATATAATCCGATTAATTGGTGGAGTAAAAGTGGATTTTGGGTATATAAAGGGATTGATATCGGGTGTAAAATGGGTTCTGTATTAATCAAGTGGCATTTAAAAGACATCATTGGATTAAGGTTTGATATAGGAATTTGAGGGAATAATGAAGGGGGAGTAATATTAGGCGATTTTGGTTGATTAAGAGCGATTAAGCGATAAGTTGAATCATAAATCCTTCTTAATCAACTAATATCGGAAGTACAAAAGGGATGTGGAGGATATCGGTGTTTAATATGATAAATAACTAGACAGAGATTAGGTAATCCCTAGACACATGGGTTTAGTTGACCCTGATAAATCTTAGACCCGAAAATCCCCTTATATCCCTCGATATCACTCCAAATTCACTTATATCCTTTTTGATTTCCCTCAATAACCCGTATTTTAAGTCACTTGTGTTTAATTGTCTCGCAATTTGCTCAATTTTATACTAATTCGGATATTTTCTACAACTTTTATTAAAGAAATTTTTTGAAAATCAGGGTCCGGATCCGGCATTTTTCAAATAGCGAACTCTAATCGAATTTATTTTGAGATAAATTGAAATAAATTAAAATATTTTTTTTAATTTTGAAATAAATTTTCCTATGAAAAATCATGGAGGATGGTTGAAAAATAATACTCCCCCCTGAATTAGCACTCCCCCCTTAAATAGTACTCCCCTTTGGAGGAGGGTTGAAAAATAGTACTCCCGGGAGTACTATTTTAGGAAATACGGTAATATGTATATTTGTTAGAAAATTCTCAATGTTTTTTTTCAGATCTAGGCTCATTAATCACATATTAGAAGCATCAATTATCTTAATAAATATTCAGGATCGATCTTTTCTTTTCACCATGATAAAAAATTATGCATTCAATTTAATTTATATATTTAATTAATTAAATTCGTCAATACAGAGGCTTAGTTTCTTCTTTAATCACTTCAAGTTTTGGTTTCCATTGGTGGCGTTTTTTTGGTTTTTTCAATTCTTCTCCGTCTAAAATTTTAAGAGAGTTAACACTGGAGGTCCGCAATATATTTTAGCATTACACTGTTGGAATTTAGCAACTCATCTCAGCTTTTATCTTTATTTTATGCTCACATATCACGATCTAAAATACTCCTACCACAGTTATGAGTAGGGATCGAATTTATGGATTCCTATATTTTTCCTGGTTTCAAATACACATATCCTCGGTTTCGGGACATCCCGTAGAATCACAATATGATCTAGTCTCGTCCACAATTTAATTCTTACCATTTGTTTCGCAATTTTTCCTTTTTAAATTAGTCGCCGGTTGTCCTCCTTTTGCATTTAATTGCATGTTTAATTTATGATCGGCCAACATTTTTTGTATTATGTCTTTATTTACCGGTTTTTGATTAGGCAAATGTTTTGTTTTAGAACTGTTACGAGTAGATGAATTATCAGAACTCCCAATCTTTTTGTAGAACAATTTTTTAAAAGAGAATGTAGGCTTTTTCAAGGCTGACATATTTGAGGTTGACTCTTTTGGCGTTAACCCTTTCAAAGTTGGCCATTCAAAACTTGTTTCACTTGAATTTTCTATTTGAAAGTAAATCAAAAATAGGAGAAGAAAAATAAATTTTATCGAAATTCAAGTCTTTAAATCTAAATATTTTTCTAAAATTTTAAAAATTTATTACGCAAGCTTGGTTACACCCAGGCATTTAATTTTGTCAAAATTGCCTGGGAAACATGAAATAAGGAGCGGTATCATTCAAACCATTATCATACTTAACTCGAATAATGCTATTTAGAATTTTTGTCAAATTATGTTTTTACATGACATTTTTTGTCTCCTCGTTTCGTTACGTGTTTGGACAAAACAGCAACCAGAGATAATACTGTTTAAGGCAACTCGGAAGGCTTTTCCAACAATGTTGTTCAATCCAAAGGTGTTGTTTCCCAGTAGTTGGAAAAGCTTCTCCTAGTCTTGGACAATTAAATCCTTGTCCCTGCGTTAGAAACCCTAAAACTTATAAAAATTTCCAAGCATCTTAACCATAATAGGAGATCTTTTTTTTATTTCAAAATTAAAAAAATGTTTAAAGGCAATTAAATTTTTTAAAGCCAAAAATTTTTAAAGGCAATAGCTATTCAGGCTGAATAAAGGGGATAGGGCTAGCAAGGGAATTAATAGACAGGCAGCAAGGAGGGAAATTTTTTAAAGATTTTTAATATACAGGAGGCATGAGGATGTCATTTATTCGTGAATAATAGCTATTGAAGGGCTATAGAAGAGATAGAGGGAAGAAAACGAAGAGAGAATGAAGTTTGGGGAGTGAATAGGCATGAAGAGGGGAGAGAGTTAAGATAAAAAAATTCCAGCTAACATTGATTAACTAGTTTTATGATTTTTAACAGATAATAACAGACAAAATAGAGTTACGAGTAAAAAAATTTACAGCTGACATTGATTAACTAGTCTTATGAAATTTAACAGCTAATGACAGACAAGATTGAAGAGATAAGGGTAGAAGAGCAGAACATTTTTACTGTGAAAACTTTGTTAGTAGAAACGGGCAGTAAATTTCAATCAATATTTATTTTTGATGATTAGAAAATTTTTTTACAGTTGTATAAAATTATTAAAAATTCCCGACTCCCGATACTGACTCACGAGGTCATTTACGGAAATGACTTTCCAGGTTTTTCTTCTTCCAAGCATCACTAATATCTACAATTGGAATCTTTGCGGATTATACGTTTTGCATACTATTTTTCAATTTAGAAATGACCTAACTTGTAAAACACTGAAAATTTATAAAAATTTTTTAGGATCCTCAACAATATTGAAAATATTTATTCATTTTTTCTTTTAAAAATTGAAAAAAAAATTTAAAGGCTATTGAATATGGAGACTGATAGCTATGAGTAGGGTGAAAAGGAGGATAGGGCTTTCAGGCGAATTAATATACAAGCAGCGAGGAGGGAAAATTTTGTTAAAGATTTTTAATAGACAGGGAGGGAGGGAATAGACAGGGAGGACAGGGAGGGCTTATAGACAAGGAGGGAGAGACATTGATTAATTAAAATCTTATGATTTATTTTCATATGATTTAAATTTTTGACATTGAATCATAGGCAAGATGAAAGAAAATAGAAGTAGAAAAGCAAAAAAATTTATTTTGAAAAAGTTGTTTACGAGAGATATGCATTAATTCCAGGTTTGCTCATGAACACAGTTTTTGCTATACATGTCCGGATTTATCCGTGAGGTCCACGTGAGGTCCTTCTAACTTTTGAGGCACATCCCTCATCGGGTATCCGCGGATAATCCGTTTTTACTCAAAACTTCCAACCTGGATAATATTTTTATAATTGTCAATTTAAAATTAAAAAAATGTTTGTGATAAAATTAAGGCAATGGAAAAATAATTTTAATTACCGGATTTTCTGCTTGTTTAGCTTCGATCTAAAATGTACAGAAATGAGTTAAATAAATAATTTGTTCATGATCAGTTCATTTGTTTTTTTAAAAGTTTTTTAATATTGTTTTTTCTCTTTAAAATCTTCGCAAAACTCAAAAAATGCAACTAAAGCATGAATTTCAAAGATGAAATTTTTGATATAAAAATGATGAAATATTAATTATCTAGAGATAGAACGCGTAAGTAAAAAACTCTTTTATATATAATAAAAGCTCTCTTACATATAATATTATTGCTAAGGGTAGTTATTCAAAAATATTAAATCTTCCGATTAGCTCCAATTTTTCCATTACACCTCAATTTTGAATACGGAAAAATCATTCCAAATAATAATGTTTTAATAAAATTTATTTAAGGAAGATCGACATTGTTATATTTACGGAAGTTCATAAAAAGAGGGGAATTTTTTAAAAAAGCAAAAAAGTCGAAATTAAAAAATATATAATTAAAATTTGATAACAATGCTTATATTGTTTTATAATCATTTTTATCCATTCATTGTCGGGTGTAGTCTGACTTTCCCAAATTGAGCCGCTTCAACTTCGATCTATAATATCAAAATAAACTAAATTTTAAAGCAAAATCAACTATCTGTTTTCGTATTTTTAATTGATTTCTTTATTTTATGCTGTTTCTGGTAACAAGCAGCACATAAATAGTGTCCTTGTTTTGAATAACGGTACCAATGTGATGTATGAGTAACATCGCAAATAGAACAATTTCGGGTTATCTAAATATTTATAGAAAAATATTGAAACTTATAAATGTTTTCTTACATCAGGAGATTTATGTATTATTTAATCATAGATTTACGCAAATAAAATTTTTAAAAGTGCGTCAAATGTCAATTAGGCAAAATGTGTTTTATAGGAGCGTAAACCATTTACGAATGGTTTTAAATTAATTAAGGGTAAGTTATTTAACGTTGGTAAATTAAGCATAGTAAGTTATGTCAAATAAAAAGCATTTCACTTAAGAATTCATCGGTACTCTACGTTTGGACAAAACAACATTCAGTAAGTTCAGAATTGAGTAAAAGTCTCATTAAAGAGTTCTGATAAGAATTTATGTTAAAGCCAAATTTTACTAAAAATGACCTTTCTAGTCATAAACCATAATTCTTTTGATCTAAACTTTCCATATCTGCGTTTATATGCAGCACATTGTTCGCACAAGTAATGTTCTTTTAGTAAATTATACCATTGTTTTGTGTGTGTAACTCTACAAATGAAACACATTCGTTTGTTTACTTCGATTATTCCACCTATAATTATCAAGGAATTATTTTTTAGTCTTATGAAATCATAGACAAAGTTAAAGATTTACTTATTTTAGTGCCAATATGAATAATTTTGTTTTCTAATTTTTTCGGATATTCAAATTTTTGTTTTTGTAACAATTCAATTTTATATCCAATTAAATTAATTTCCGTCCAATAACTTGACAAAAGTTTATTTTTATATGATTCTATTCTTTCTTCAATTAAGCTAAAATTATTATTGTCTCCACATTTGTACAATATTGAAGTTTCATAAAAATTATTATTTTCAATAAAATTAATATATCGGAGTACCTTAAATTTAACAAAAATTTGGTAGTGATAGCGGTCGATTTGCATTTTTGCTTTTATTTTTTCTTTGTTAGCTAGTTATGACACTATGGAATGAAAATCAATTATCAAATATACCATTTTTTCGAACCCAGGCAAAAAATTTTTAATTATTTCATTATTAGTAATTTCAATCAAAATTTTCTTTCTTAATTGATCAGAAGGAATATATTTTGATTCATCACTTATTTCAACCTTAAAAATATTTTCATCCAGATTTAGGCCAATTGAACGCAAATATTCTTCAATATTTTTATTGAAGGCATCAAACCGGTTATTTTTCTTTTCAATTACTTTTAACACAAAACGATCCTTTATTTCAACATTTTTTAAATAAATAAATTCTCTTTTATCTTCCCAATCGTCTATAATTTTCACTTCAACATGAATGAGTTTCCCGTAGCATTGAATTTTCAAAAATATAATTAAATATATGAAAATGACAAAATTAAATTTAACCATCTGAAATTGATAAAATTAAAGATACTCTTTTGTTTTTTTTCTTTAGAAAAATCTTAGTGAGACTTTTTAATATTTTTTAATCATTTTTCAAATAAAAGGGTAGCAACTTTCGTCAGCCGACTTTTGCGGACCCGTACATGAGAACCGACACACACCAGAAATGAATTTTAAAAAAATTATGTAAAAGGCCTTTTTAGGTAAAAAACCATCTCCTAAAAATTTTTTACATTTGATATGTATCTGTTCTAGTTATTAAATTTGATCCGGTTATCATGATCAGGCTAGACTTATAGGGCGGTCATTTCAGAATTTACTCTTGAAGTTTTATCCAAAAATCAAAACATAATTTATGTGATTAATATTTTGTAGACAAGAGCTAAATTGAGACAAAACAATCTAAGAAACTAAAAGAACATACTTGCTCAACGGCATACAATTAGAAAAACGACTTGAAGTGGTAATAAATTTAAGATGTATGTATGTATATGAATTCATTAGCAGACCTGACTTGCTTATAAACGGAGCATTGAAAGGAGGAGTTTGGTAAATGGAGAGTGAAAATTACGAGTATAACTAAATCTCCGCCCTTTCCTTTACCTATGTTAGGTACCAAATAGCTACTTCACATATGATGCAATGCACTTTTAACATGTCCGTTATGACATTTTTTTAATAGAGCAGAGAAAGTATTTGGCAATTCCTCAATGTTCTTTAACATTGAAAGTATCGGAATTCCTACATAATACATATTTATAAGCACTCGATTTAAATTAAAATGAAAATATTTAAAATAATGAAGGAGGATTGTCTGTTCTAAGAACCTTAACCCTATGTTAGACATTTAATAAAAATAATTTTTAAATAGTTCAATTACTTTAAATATAATTAAGATGAAATGGTCTAATTGTTTCCCCTTTAGCTAATTTTTTTAATGTTCCCCGGAATGATATGTTACATAATCCACTGCCTCTTGCAATAATTTATGAATTAAATAGCTAGGTATATGC